GGGGGCAGGCATGACTTTGAGAGTATGCCTGATGGTGCGGTGACTGGTTTATACTGATGGTGTTGTGGACGGGGATAGGTTGAGATCCCCGAGTTCCGCTCTTCTCTCCCCCCCCTGTTCAAGCGTGGGGGGGTACAACCAATTAATGCAATTTCGAAAGCAACGAACAAAGCAGAAGATTGCAGAGACAGAGGCGTTGAAATCTGAGTTTTGTGAGGAGCGGAAGATGAAATATCTGTTGGCCAATCAGAGTGCAGCAGCATGGAGTCAGCGTGAAGTGTCTGAAACCTGACCAGAAGAGTAGACTTGGGAGCACTTGTTGGTCTGCCCCAAGGAAGCACGAGGGAGGCTGCTGCAGCCAAGAGGTATTTCGGAGGAGATCTATTTCTTTCCCACCCACCCACCCTTTTGCTTTTGGGGGTGTCAGTGGTAGGGCGAGGACGGATCGCCAGCAGTGGTAAATGAGGAAGGTGTGGTCGTTTGCCGATACTGCTGATGGGGCGAGGGTGTTTGGGTAGATGATCCTTGCCCGGGTGTGTCTGTCGCGCTAGGGATGTTGGCGGTACTCTCAGTGCGGGTGAGAGCGCCTAAGTTGCTGTGCCACGAGCGGCGAGTGCACAGTGACTGGATGATTGGTTATGGTCGACAGGGTCGGCCGTAGCCGTGGGCCGGCGGTCGGGAGCGGGGGCGGGTGCGAACCCAACGTGGGGGTTCGCGAGGTACCGCGTGTGTGCGACCGTTGATGAGCTTGACGAGGTAGCGCGACTAGACATGGGCACGCAGTGGTGTTCTTCACGGTGCATCACAATCAATGTGGTACATGTGCGGTATATTGAGGTTGGTATATCGGAACATGCGTGCAATTTGGAGAGAAGAAAGGGGGGCAGGCATGACTTTGAGAGTATGCCTGATGGTGCGGTGACTGGTTTATACTGATGGTGTTGTGGACGGGGATAGGTTGAGATCCCCGAGTTCCGCTCTTCTCTCCCCCCCCTGTTCAAGCGTGGGGGGGTACAACCAATTAATGCAATTTCGAAAGCAACGAACAAAATGTGTCTTTATAGCGGGGAGTTTCCTTAAGAAGAGTGTCTTTAAAGCGGGGACGACTGTAGATATACTCGCAGCAGTATCTGGTCGTGAGGATCCCAAGGGGATATGTGTTGGGAATTTCGTGTGTTGTAGGGTACCATCGGTGCAGTCACGGGGACCCTTTCGGCGCGGTTGGAACGATGAGGCCACACGTGTTGCTGCCATAGGAAAATATTAAAAAGTAGGCCTGAAAGGAGACCAGGTACCCAGGGATAAAAAAAGACTTTCTGCGTAGCCCCTCTGCGTGCGCCGCAGTGCGCCGGGTGTGCTTGTCAGACACTGCTTTTCAGCACCAGCAGTACTCGACGCTCAGGTGGAGGACGGAAGTGAAACTCGGCAACAGGTTCAGGAACGTCACATAGTACATGCGTGAGTCTTTTGATTTGGCAATATTGTCCATGGGTGGGAGAAAACCGAGTCGTTGGCCTGAAGCCGTCTGGCAGCCTGTTTTACGCACCGTTGTTCCGCCGCTCTGTTTGGCGAACTTTGACGACAAGTTGACCCCCCGTAGAGTTGACCAAATGGACCAGCGCTCGGAGACTGGAGTGATCGATAAGCATAGACCTGATATATCGTTGCTAGAATTTTGGATCTGCGTTGTGAAAGCCGAAACAGAGCTTCGCGCACCGGTGCCTTATAACGCGGCGGAACTTCCTCAACAGACACAGCTGCTGCGTGCGGTCGCGAGTCGGTGCTGCCGCACCGGCCGCGTAAGCTATGAAGTGGTGATGCTGCACTCCTTACCACTCTTCAAAACACTCTTGGTTTAGTTTAACCACTATCGGTTTGTGCTCACCGATCCTGAACAGGTTGTATTCCTATGTCGGCAACTGGGACCCGTTGTACCGCATGCCTCAGTGGAGGAGAAGAATCTGCCTTCCGACACATGCGGGCAAGGACCAGCAGCCAAGTCCGGGATTTCGTAGACGAGGTCGGCATCGCAAACCAGTTTCCGGCCTTGAACGAGGGGAACTTAGGCGTGATCACCCTCGTACTGTGCAGACGACCTGCTTGCTTGCTGCAGCTGTACAAAAAGCACGAGCAAAGGGCTAGCAAGGACCGGAGTAAAGACCGGCGAGCGCGCAGGGCAGCTCGGACGCCTCGCCATGCCAAGGGTTGGGTTGGTGCTCCTGAACCTCAAACGCACCTGAAGCGTCGGTGGCTTGATAGGTACTGCACTTCGCCTGGGGCGGTGGATGCTTTGCTGGGTGCTGTGGGTATCACGGGATGCGTTTTGGACATGTGCGGTGGGCCTAGGGACGCCGTCGCGACCCGTCTTCAATCCACGTGCGAAGTTCTCACCAACGACGTGAGCTCGGGGTAAGGACATTCTACCTCTGTTCAGTAACTTGAAAATACCCCGCAGGAAATTTCCTTGCACATAGACGTTCAGAAAACACAGGGGGCAGCCGACAAAAAATCTTCTGACAACAGTTCAAATGTAAAAGTCATTCGACTGTGTTGCGGATGGTAGGTTGTGCTCAGGCCCGACATGGAACGTGAACATAACGAGGTGGTACAGAACAACACAAAATGTCCCTGGTTTTTCATGGACACGATAATTTCGCCCCCGATCCTTTCTGTGAGTTCGCTCCGAGTCGTTATTCCCCCCCCCCCCCCCCCGATATTAATCACCGTTGCTCACGTTTCATGGCTTGATTTTCGGTTTTGGCTGTTGCCAGAGGTGCCAAGTGCTCGGATTTGCAATGGTAAAATCTCCAGTTGACAGACAGGTTCTGGGTGCATGCCTGCAAAGGCCGTGTGCCCTTTTGACAGGCACGGGCCACGCTCCTCATAGCACGTATGGGGGTCTTTCTTCTCCCACAGTGGATGTCTTTGTTGAAGAGGGAGATTCTCACGCGTTTGGCGAAACGGCAACACCATGTTCGCGCATGATTATTTTTTTCCCGTATCATGTGCGCGATCGCTGATTTCTTGTATTCTGTTGTTGTCGATGCAGGCGTCCAGCGGATACCAACCTTGACGCAAGCTTGGAGTCCTTCCCGGAAGACTTTCTCGCAGCTAACTCCGGGAAAAGGCCTGAGTGGGTGGTGACTAGCCCTCCATACAACAATGCTCTGACTTTTGTCAAGGCCGCCATTGGCGACGAAAGGGGTGGCGTTCAAAATGCCACTTTCTTTTCTGGAACCTTGCGCCGACCGGGGCGGTTGGCTGAAAACGAACCCCCCGTCTGTTTGTGTGTTTCTGCGCAGAGCGAAATACACGCGTGCGAACAATGCGAAGATGGGCGAATTCTGGGGTGTGAGGTATACTCAGGAAATGAACTGCGGCAACGGGACGAGGCTTGTTTTCTGTCCTGAATAGCACGGCTGCAGTTTCGACCCACGCATGGTCTGTAATTGTGACGTGCGAAATAGTTTAGTTGGGTTTGGACATGTGTACAAGGCGTGACGTGTCTAAGACATCTATTTCGGGGATGGGGGATAGTCGGAGATTGACGTGAGTCACCCCCGATCGATTTTTTTTTTTCGGGGCGTGCTGTAGGCATACAAGCATACGTATGGGTGTGGCAGTATCGCGTGCACGACATGAGTTCTGGTGTCAAGGATTGTTTTTTTTGCACTAAAGCGCTTTTTTGTTTTGTTTTGCGTGTGTTGTTGTAGTCGCAACATGAAACAGGATGACTCGTACGCGCGTGCGTTGCGTAACTAAAAAAAACTGAGGTGTACGGGGTGAGAAGCGGCCGACTTCAATATCCCTGCAGTGGAGGCCACTGCCAGCACGTTGGTCACCATTCATGCAAGCTCCCACAATATGTTTTGCTCACCTGCACACGAACAAAAAACCGATGTCCCAAATGGACATTTCATTAGTCCCAGCACCCACAAGATCCAACGGTTGTCCTACATGATGCCGCCACGCGTTTTCAGCTATCTGCTCGTACTCACGAACGTCATCCTCCTGGAAACAACCTAAAACCAAGCCGCCACTAACACCCGACTCGGCGTTATTGTTCGAGAAATCAAACATCCCCGGCAACTGTTCCTCGTCGCTGTCGCTGTCACTATCTTCGCCCATGTCTACAAGTCCTCCTTCAGCTGAACGATCTTCCTGCATCTCACTTTCTTCCGTCTCTTCCTCGCGGCATTTAAGCTTGCACTTGCACAACTCTGAGCAATGGCCAAAACCTTTAGTGATGCACACGCAACTTGTGCAGTGCCCCCCTCGCTTCCTCTTCGCGTTTGAACACACGCACTTCACGGTTTCAAATCCACCCGGCCAGATGGTGACCTTAGGGAACCTGCGCATCAACATCATACAACCACCTTCAACCTCCGTTTTCTCAATGTACCCCATCCCGTCCCATTTGGGAACTTGAATGGGGTACCTGGCGGAGGCGTCCGAACCCGGAGAACCACTCGGCACAACAGAAAGCCAGTACTCTACCAACCACGACATCCGGAGGACGCAAAGTTCGGCGGCATCGTAGTTCGGGGCGGCTTTACTGAGGTTCCCCGCACCGTACCATTTTCAGCAGTTCGCTCCTGAATCGCTTCGACCCACCTCCTCGTATCATCAACCTCCCCCTCCCTGTTTATCTCCCGTGACTTGATACCCCGGCAAAGCGTTAGCAAATAAACTATTGTTCTTGACAAAGTACGCGAGCGCAACAAACTTAACCAACTCCTGCCTCTCCAAATGTAAACCAGTGGCTACCCCATCCTCTATTATTTCGGTGCCCACGGCCTTGACAAACTGGTGGTTTTCAGCATTCTTCGCTAACTCGAAGTATGACTGGAACATGAAGAAAGAACTCAAGCCGGAAAGCGTCGGAGTGAAGTCAGTGCCGTTGAGCATGTACGAGGCAATCACCGGCAAGCACCTCTGCAAACCGGTGAACGAATGCGGCCAATTCTCCATTTTGGCCAGGGCCTCGGAAAGCTCAAGCACGTCGATGCAGTTGACGACGGCTTGATCATTCAACCCCCTCTGTTGTCGCACTACCACTCGAACTCTTCGAATGTGCGGATTAAGGGCATACGCGAGAAGGGCTGCTACCCAAACGTCCGTGTCGATAGATACTACCTGGACCCAAACGGGTGGTGTTTCCCCTTGTCCCTCCTGGTTGTTCTCGGAGCTACTACCGCCACCCTACCCCGTCAGCGGGCTCGCTGTTCGACCGACCAGGTAGGCGTGGTGTAGGGCCTGGAGTTCCCCTTCTCCTATACCGTTGCCCTCGTCACCAATTATCAAGCAGTCTTTGTCGTTGTGCCACGACTTAAAATGTAACGTCTCCAAAAAATCCTGAGACAGGATGGGCTCGCCGTCAATTAGTAAACTCAAGTTTCCCAGACAATCCTCCCACGGCGTCATAGCCGTGTTGTTGGACGTTGTGGCGCGAATACTTTCGAACTTCCCACGAATGTACTGGCACAAAACGGAAAAAACGCCGTCGCGGTGCTGCCGATTCTTCAGGAAGTCCTGCCACTCACCGACAAGCGGGGTGTGATTGTCTAACCCAAACAGCCACTGCTTCTCCTTGCACAAGGGTTCGTGAGGCTTTTTCCGTGGCCCCTTCGCACCGGGAAACAGCCCCCGCTTAGTGTGGGCAAAGCTCTTGGGCTTTGGCACCAGACTCCGCTTGTCAAAATTAAGTATTACCTGCGCGGAAAACAAGGATAGTGCGGGACGTGGTTAAACCAACCACAAACGCTGGAAGGACAATGTCCTTCAACCGTTCACCCATGCCCGGGTGGGAACTGGTGACCCAAGAGAGGATAGATCACGGTTGAGCCTGAACTGCCAGACTGTTCCGCCAAGTCTAGCCAACCTACCCGCGGGTCCCTCTCGCCTCCTTGTTCAAATTGGGAAACTCCCACGTCGTCGTTTGTCCCACCAACCAAACTGAAACTTTCTGCCACGCCTCTACAGGGATGAATGTCCATAGCAAGAGGAGTTGGCCTTCTCACCTGGCCTTCGATTTTCCTTGCCTCGAGCACAGCGTCCACAGGAGACGTCCCACAACGTCTTCGGCGTACCCGCGCCATGTATTGAGAGGGATTCCAGATCGACTTCTTTTCCCACGAGCCTGCGGAGATACTGAGTTGACCCCCCGATCGGCTTCCCACTACACCGAAGCTTCGCCCGGCCCCATAGCTCCCGCCTTCGACGCAGCCTTCGCCGCCGAGCTAGCTTCCTCCTTCGCCGCACCTTGCGCCTGTGCAGCGCATTTTTCCTTCGCCGTATTCTCTTCCTATGTCGATTGGGCCTGGAGGGCCGAGGTGTTTTCGGCTCCTCCTCCTTTGGCGAATTTGGCTCGAGCGCTATCCCCAAGCTATGCAACATCGCCGAGTCCGCCGTTGCTGATAACAGCAACAAGAACTTCGACAACAAGGGAGCCACTACCATAGCTCGGGCTCCTTCTTCCTCGGCACCTCTGCTAGCTCTCGCCTCGGCAGTTCGCTCATTTTCGGCGGCGCCCAGCTTCCCTTGAACTCCCAAGAGGCGCTGCATCCATATCATCATCATTGCCGCCAACGACAGCAGCAACGGCAACCTTGTCGCCACGCCCCCCACGAACGACAACATCGAACACAGCATCACCAACGTAGTCGCTGACAGGGACCGAGTTCGCTCTTCCGCAACCGCCTTGTCCACCTCCATCGGCACCGCCGGGGCCTCGGGTGTGGCTCCCTCAGCCCCGGCCTTCTTCGCCACCAGAAACGCTCGTTTCACATCCAACACAAATGCCCGACCTGGCGCTCCCTTCGCTCTCTGCCAATAAGCTAGTTCTTCGCCAATCTTTTGGCCGCGAAAAATTTCAAAGAGCAGACAGCGCACCGGCCGAGGGGTCAAAAGAATGAACACTTCACAAAGCTCCGTACGTCTTTTGCGCCCCACAATGAGCAACAACACACCCGGCGTCCGGACACCCGGCGTCCTGTCTGTCTCACCTGAAGGGCACCTGCGTTTGCCGGGGGCAACATGAGCACCCAGTGATTGAAATCAGGCATCCATCGCATTTGGTGGAGTTCGCCATCGGCGCCGCGTTCCCAGCGGCGAGTTGTCTCCGTGAACTCGTGGAGCTGCTGAACGCGTGCTTGTGAGACGTGATGGACATCGTGAGGTAGATGGTTGGCTCAACCCCAGAGGGGTTGAGCGGACCGATCAATTCCTTGCTCCATTTCCCGGCGAACGACGCCCCACCTCAACATCCTTCATCGACCCACCTGCCCAGTGACATAATGTGTGAGCAACGTTATCAAAGGATCGCCCTCATTTGCACAAGCTATTGAGATATAAGGATACTAAATGAAGGTGACAAGCACTTATCCGAAGCGTCCCTGTACCACAAGAGAGATAATCCTGTCCTGGGGGTGGTGGAAGGGGGTTGTCCGGGTTAATCGTGACAGGTGGAGACCTAACGAGAGCGGGAGCCCTCATACCGATTTAGCTTTGCAAGTTTGCCGTCTTCTATCTTACGGGGAAATCATCCTGAATACAAACCAACTCACCTGGGTGAAAGCACCGCATCTTCACCCCAAACGCTTGTGCTGTCCACGGTATGGCCGCCTGTTGGCTGTCGCTGAACTCGCCAGCGACCTCTCGCACGGCAAGCAGGTACAGAACTCGCGCTACGCTCTCTGTCAAGACCTCAGGAGTGCTGCACCCGAGCCTCCAAGCGCCCTCAACTTCTTTCGCGGAATACGCCTGCAGCGTACAGTAGAAGCCACCGCACCCAGGACCGCTGATGAATGTCTGCAAATGTACTAGGGCCGCCCGGATTACGGCTACACGCACCGACAGAGACAGCTCCAGCGCTTCGTCAGGGGTTTTGTACCTGGCACCAAACCCCCCCAACGCAACGGCGTTGAAATAGCAAGCATTGTTGGCGCAGGTTTTTATGGTCGACCCCCTGGTCCCACCGTCCGCGCTGTCCGCCTCGTTGAGCAGGGCTTGAGCCGTTGCATCCACGAGCATGGGTCGCCTCAACAATCCTTCGTATCCCTGCAAAAAACGACCGGAGGCGGTTGTGTTTCTGGTGGCATCATTTTGCTCCCATGGTGTGCCTATAGCACGTGCACGATGCATGGTTGCACAAAAATTGCTCACCCAATACACTGGGTTTTGATGAAGCATGAAACGCGACCAGTTCCTTCGCGGAAGTACACCCACCTAATGTTTCGCAGCGATGACTGTGGCACGTCGTGCTCGAAACATTGCGCGCTACACCAAGACATGAAACACCGTGGTCGTCGTTGCCGCCAACCCTGGGAGGGGATGAACTCTGCCTCTAGATTTTTTCCTTGCGCTTACTCGGGGGAAAATAGAACAAATGGGATGGGGACTTTAGTTTTTCCATGAACACCACGGGGGCTGTACGACCCCGAAGATTACGGTATTGCCGAGGTCGGCCGTGCCAAAACCACGCCCCAAGCTGGACAATGGCGTGCGTGCGTCTGGTGCTCTTACCGGTAGGATGACGTATCTTGGCTGCCCAACTCGTGCTTGAAGCTCCTAGCGTACTCGATCATCTCCGAGCATGCACCAAGTGCCACACCGTCTTCCACGCTACCGCTGGAGAGCACGACATCGATACTTTCCCTCACGCGCTCCAAGAAACGGAGGTTCGCTTGGTCATCCGCGAGCGCGTTGTCATCCTCCCACGGCATTCCCGATTCCACTCCGACCCCCACGCGCTTTTTCCGACAGAGGCCCATCCTGCTACATAGTACACCGACAGCAGCCGCCATTTTTGTACGATGTTGACATCGGGGTGCGGCATGCCACAAACACACGGTAACAGGAGTGCGCACATACACATTTCCGCATATAAAAACCATTGCTGGGTATCACACACGGTACTTAAACATGCGCAATGCAAACTTACAACTGCACACATTGAGGCATCGATGCCAAGAATAAGAACCACTGGCCACAGCAGGTGAGGAGGCGACGTTGAATTCGGTCGGTGCTGTCGCGAGCTGTGGTGTGAATCATCGTTTACCGCGGACAAGGACTTTCAAAATCTAAATAAAAAATTCCGAAATCTCTGTCGATACCACGAACCAGTCGAATGTGCTGCGCAATTTGTGCTGAATAGAGAATCATCGTTAGCACCCATAACTTATGTCGGCAGTCGTCACCCATAGACTCAAGCGTATCCTCTACTACATCACTGCGGCAACGCAGCAGCGTACCGCTGTACAGCCCGCGTGGGTGTCGACACAGGTTTCCTT